TCTTTCTTGTGCACATTCGCCTGGCCAGTTGCTGGTCTGTGCATGCGTATTTTTATGCATCGGGAAACTGCATGTGCTATGAGCAAGCCTTTCCTGGCAGTGACTTATCATGCATTCACGAGCAAGCAAATATTACTGTTATTTTGTTTTGCTTTGGTTTTTTTTACACATTTTCACCAATATCACTAAGCTAAGAGAAAATTCCCTTTAAAGTGAACATCCTATTTGCCTTTAGTAAATCAACCCCCTTGTAATATCAGAAAACTCATTTTATTCTATCTCATACTATTTTAAAACCCTCAGTTGATCCAGAGGAAGGACCAGAAACCACAAGGTTTGCCCTTATAAAAATGACTCAATTTACCCTATCGAGCAAAAAATTCATTTTGCGTCCAAAACTCCCTTGAGAAGCACAACCAGCCTTTTTTTTTATAAAACAGGCTACTGAGCTACATTCAAAGGGGAAACTAGCCCACATTTTCACAGAGCTTACAATAAACAGCCATTTCCACATGTTGAAGTAAAACCAATTGTCCCCCAGGCTAAAATAAAATGCCCACAGGTCTTTTGTGTTGACTTTAAAGAGGACAACTTTTCAACAAGTTTACTATATGAATCATTTATGTACCGTATTTCGCGTTCCATAAGACGCACCTGACCATAAGACGCGCCTAGGTTTTAGAGGTAAAAAACAAGAAAAAAAATATTCTGAACCAATGGACTTCAGACACAGTACAGGAGATGACCAGAGACTGCGGACATAGTACAGGAGATGACCAGAGACTGCGGACAGTACAGGAGATGACCAGAGACTGTGGACACTGTACAGGGAATGACCAGAGACTGCAGACATAGTACAGGAGATGACCAGAGACTGGGGACATAGTACAGGAGATGACCAGAGACTGGGACATAGTACAGGAGATGACCAGAGACTGTGGACATAGTACAGGAGATGACCAGAGACTGCGGACACAGTGCAGGAGATGACCATAGACTGCGGACATAGTACAGGAGATGACCAGAGACTGCGGACACAGTATAGGAGATAACCAGAGATTCGGACATGGTACAGGAGATGACCAGAGACTGTGGACACAGTACAGGAGATGACCAGAGACTGCGGACATAGTACAGGAGATGACCAGAGACTGCGGACACAGTACAGGAGATGACCAGAGACTGCGGACATAGTACAGGATATAACCAGAGACTGCGGACATAGTACAGGAGATGACCAGAGACTGCAGACACAGTACAGGAGATGACCAGAGACTGCGGACATAGTACAGGAGATGACCAGAGACTGCGGACACAGTACAGGAGATGACCAGAGACTGTGGACACTGTACAGGGAATGACCAGAGACTGCAGACATAGTACAGGAGATGACCAGAGACTGGGGACATAGTACAGGAGATGACCAGAGACTGGGGACATAGTACAGGAGATGACCAGAGACTGTGGACATAGTACAGGAGATGACCAGAGACTTCAGACACAGTACAGGAGATGACCAGAGACTGCGGACATAGCACAGGAGATGACCAGAGACTGTGGACACAGAACAAGAGATGACCATAGACTGCGGACATAGTACAGGAGATGACCAGAGACTGCGGACACAGTACAGGAGATGACCATAGACTGCGGACATAGTACAGGAGATGACCAGAGACTGTGGACATAGTACAGGAGATGACCAGAGACTGCAGACACAGTATAGGAGATAACCAGAGATTGCGGACATGGTACAGGAGATGACCAGAGACTGTGGACACAGTACAGGAGATGACCAGAGACTGCGGACATAGTACAGAAGATGACCAGAGACTGCGGACACAGTACAGGAGATGACCAGAGACTGCGGACACAGTACAGGAGATGACCAGAGACTGCGGACATAGTACAGGAGATGACCAGAGACTGCAGACACAGTATAGGAGATAACCAGAGATTGCGGACATGGTACAGGAGATGACCAGAGACTGCTGACATAGTACAGGAGATGACCAGAGACTGTGAACATAGTACAGGGAAATTGCCAGGGACTGCGGACATAGTACAGGGAATGACCAGAGACTGCGGACATATTACAGGAGATGATCAGAGAGTGTGGACATAGTACAGATGACCAGAGACTGTGAACATAGTACAGGGAAAATGCCAGGGACTGTGGAGATATTACAGGTGACCAGAGACTGCAGACAGTACAGGGGATGACCAGAGACTGCAGACAGTACAGGGGATGACCAGAGACTGCAGACAGTACAGGGGATGACCAGAGACTGCAGACAGTACAGGAGATGACCAGAGACTGCAGACAGAACAGGGGATGACCAGAGACTGCAGACATTACAGGGGATGACCAGAGACTGCAGACAGTACAGGGGATGACCAAGAGACTGCGGACCTTTGGGGGGAGGGGGGGGGAGCGGGTACCTGAAGTTGTCCTTTCTTTAGTGTGGGCACACTGGCTTCTTCCCTTGCCTGCTTCTGTGACAGCCGGGTGTCCACTGCGCATGCGCGAGAAGAGCTGTGCTTTGTGAATGGCCAGGCGCCTTCTGGGACCTGTCATGTGTCCCAGAAGTCGCTGGACCATTCACAAAGCACAACGCTTCTCGCGCATGCGCAGTGGGCATCTGGCTGTCACAGAAGCCAGCGCTGGAAGAAGCCGTCACGGGAAGACTACAGTGCTGGACAGAGGAACAGGTAAGGTCCTGCAGGAGAGAAGAGCTGAGCAGCTGGCCCGGTATTCTGACTTGGTGGCGGCGGCGGCGGCATACCGGACCGGCCGCTCCATATTCGCTCCATAAGACGCACTGACATTTTCCTCCCTTTTTTGGGGGAAAAAAGTGCGTCTTATGGAGTGAAAAATACGGTATTTATGCAAAGTGATTATATCCCCCATTATATGCCAGTTTTTAAGTATTAATAAAATCAGTTCAGCTAAAATTTCCTCATAGTGGAGGTCCTCCATACCCCTTTTTAAATTAGTTGACCTATTCAGCACTATTTCCATTTCACCAACCTCTTTTTGTGAACTGTGAACATGTTCAAGATGATATCCTGCCAATGCATTAAATAAGGGTAAAAGACAATTTTTCGATGAATTTACAGTCTGGACTATTCAAGCCTATATAACTTAACTTATGCATTAACTGTCTGTGGTAGAATGTGTCAAACAAGTATACAATTGGCATATCCACCATACAGTGAGGAACAGAAGTATTTGAACACCCTGAGATTTTGCAAGTTCTCCCTCTTAGAAATCATGGAGGGGTCTGGAATTCACTTTGTAGGTGCATTCCCACTCTGAGAGACAGAATTTTTTTTAAAAAAAATTCAGGAAATCACATTGTATGATTTTAAATAATGTATTTGTCTTGCACTGCTGAACATAAGTATTTGAACACCTAAGAAAATCAGTGTTAATATTTGGTACAGAAGCCTTTGTTTGCAATTACAGAGGTCAAACGTTTCCTGTAGTTCTTGACCAGGTTTGCACACACTGCAACAGGGATTTTGGCCCACTCCTCTACACAGATCTCTTCTAGATCTGTCAGGTTTCGGGGCTGTCGCTGAGCAACATGGAGTTTCAGCTCCCTCCAAAGATGTTCTATTGGATTTAGGTCTGGAGACTGGCTAGGCCACTCCAGAACCTTGATATGCTTCTTATGGAGCCACTCCTTGGTTTTCCTGGCTGTGTGCTTCGGGTTGTTGTCATGTTGGAAGACCCAGCCACGACCCATCTTCAATGCTCTGACTGAGGGAAGGAGGTTGTTGCTCAAAATCTCACAATAAATGGCCCCACTCATCCTCTCCTTAATACAGTGCAGTCGTCCTGTCCCCTTTGCATAAAAGCACCCCCCCAAAGCATGATGTTACCACCCCCATGCTTCACAGTAGGCATGGTGTTCTTGGGATGCAACTCATCCTTCTTTTTCCTCCAAACACAACGAGTGAAGTTTAGACCAAAAAGTTCTACTTTGGTCTCACCTGACCACATTACTTTCTCCCATGCCTCCTGTGGATCATCCAGATGGTCATTGGCAAACTTCAGACGGGCCTGGACATGTGATGACTTGAGCAGGGGAACCTTCCGTGCAATGCATGATTTGAAACCATGACGGCGTAGTGTTCTACCGACAGTGACCTTTGAAACTGTGCTCCCAGCTCTCTTCATGTCATTGACCAGCTCCTCCCTTGTAGTTCTGGACTGATTCCTCACCTTTGTTATCATCAGTGATACCCCACAAGGTGAGATCTTGCATGGAGCCCCAGTCCGAGGGAGACTGACAGTCATCTGTAGCCTCTTCCATTTTCTAACAATTGCTCCAACAGTTGATCTATTTTCACCAAGCTGCTTGGCTATTGCCACGTAGCCCTTTCCAGCCTTGTGTAGGTCCACAATTTTGTCTCTGGTGTCTTTTGACAGCTCTTTTTGGTCTTGCCCATGGTAGTAGTTAGCGTCTGACTGACTGTGGGGTGGACAGGTGTCTTTAAAGAGCTCAGACAGGTGCTACTAAGCTAGATTAATGAGTGGAGTAGAGGTGGACTTTTTAAAGGCAGAGTAACAGGTCTTTGAGAGACAGAATTCTTGCTGTTTCTTAGGTGTTCAAATACTTATGTTCAGCAGTGCAAGACAAATAAATTCTTTAAAAATCATACAATGTGATTTCCTGATTTTTTTTTTAATTCTGTCTCTCAGAGTGGGAATGCACCTACAATGTGAATTTCAGACCCTTCCATGATTTCTAAGAGGGAGAACTTGCAAAATTGCAGGGTGTTCAAATACTTCTGTTCCTCACTGTACATATAGTTAAAAATGTATTTCATAGCCATTTCCTGCTCTCTCGAGCGGTGTATTCTCTGAATTTCCTTGGGGAAATGTTTTTCTTTGTTTCACTGGTCTGTAGATCAGCGGTGGCTTCAGCAGCGGAATGAGTTTGTCACTAAACCCAAAACCATTCCTTAATGCCCTTACTGGTAAGCCAGTAATGGTGAAACTGAAGTGGGGTATGGAATACAAGGGATACCTGGTCTCTGTGGATGGCTACATGAACATTTAGCTCGCCAATACAGAAGAGTATATTGATGGAGCATTGTCTGGACATCTTGGAGAAGTTCTAATAAGGTGTAATAATGTGTTGTATATACGTGGAGTAGAAGAAGAGGAAGAAGATGGTGAGATGAGAGAGTAAAGCAATTTCCAAATTAGTTTTGTAAATTTATTTTGAAGCTTCGCTTTTGAGGGTACTGTTGGATATTGTATTTTGTATGTTTTGTTAATAATAAACACTATAAAAAAAAAAATTATTTCATAAATGAATCTAATGGATCTAATAAATACATTTTCTAATGGCTAGTGCTAGCCAAAAATGAGACCTAAACAAATCCTAGCATCACAGGTAAAACATGACTGTTGCAGCTTTGTTATATAGTATCTGAGCTCTTTTTGGAATTGTGTTTCTCTTTGGGGCACCTAAAAAGTCTTCGCATTGAGCTCTTTTTGGAATGCATGTTTGTTAAAGACAGAGCATTATATTTGAATGGAGTTCTGCTTAACCGAAGAAGCCAGTTCTAACTCTCAGCTCATGGTGCACTGATAATGTACTTCCTTTTAATTATTCTAATGTAAACCTGCGTGGTTTGAATGCACTTGCTGTGAAGAAGCAGATGGTTAGTAAACCACCACCTGTGAGTGTGCCCTGCTTGTTCATACACTTTTCCCTTAGAGAAGCGATAGACTTGTTTGACAGTAAATCTTTTACTCCAGCAGACTGTAAATGTCCTGAGTGCATTAATTATGAAGTCCTATTAAATCTTATTAAATTCATTATACATGTATTACCACCATTAAAGCTAACTTATTAAAACTAAAAATAAGATTACACTCCATACTATCCTCTGCTCTAAGATACTTCATTAAAGCATGCCATTTAATCTTTGCACTGTTTATAACTCAAGCCTTCTGTACACTATTAAAGGAATGCTGGACCAATATACATTGCAAAATTGTTCACATCAGAAGCTGTATCACTTCACCTTATCCACAGTTTAAGTCTGAGATCGGAGCTGCAGGCCTATATCACTGCTCTATATTGCCTTGGGACCAGGGGCGGACTGACAACTCATGGGGCCCCCGGGCAATAGGGGATCATGGGGCCCCTGTGTCCTTGCCCAAACTCAAAAAAGCCTATGAAAAAGGTACCAGGGGCATCTCATGGGGCCCCCTACTGACCCCGGGCCCTCGGGCAGTGCCCGAGTTTCCAAATGGTCAGTCCGCCCCTGCTTGGGAATGAACTGCAGCAGTTTTGACAGTACAGGGAGCTAAATCAAGACCTGTGGTGGGGCTGCAGGAATTAGGGAGGTAGGTGTTGTGGAAAAGGACGCCCAGGAACAGCGGTGGGTGAAAAGCAGAGGACACAATGGAGGATGCTGGGTGGGATAATGTGCCCTCCAATGATAAACTATCTACTAAATTTCACAAACGTATGGTGGACAGGATCAGCAATGACTAGTTTGTTCATTGTAAGAGCAGGATGGTGCTTATACCTGATTGTTTTGAACAATGCAAGTGTTGGCATGTATGGGATAAAAAAACAGGAACTCTGGCCAGGTAAGTCGTGTTCCCTGTATCAATTTCACAGGTTGTTTTTTTAGTTTTTCCTGAATAGTACATTTACCTTATATTACCCATATGTTCTGTAATTAATATGATATGAACTATTTGAACACCATCTATTTGAGAACTGTATACATTGTTCAACATATGTTTTCCATTCTAAATAATAATGCAGTCCTTTTATTTTCCAATTATATCTCAATAAACAAACTGTCCATAGTAGCCTGCAAAATTATTATTAAAACTATCCATAGGCATTAAGCTACTTTGTGTTGGCTGAATTAAAAACTTTAAAAAGTAATCATATTAAAATAAGTTAAAGCTCATGTTTCATATTGGTTTTATGTCAGTGATTAACTTCAAGTCTTGCTGTTACATGCAAGAAATTTAAATCATTAATATATTTTTGTGTTTTGCAAAAGATGTACGCAGTGCTAATGTAATTCTTTAGAGAATTCCAGCAATGTGACTTTAAAAGAGTGTGGAGTTGATTTACTAAAGGTAGATAGGTTGTGCATTTCGCAAAGTGCAGTTGAACTCCACAAGTGACAGTGCTCCAGAGCTTCGTTAATGAGCAGAAGCTCTGCTGACTTCCATCATCCAATCATGTGCAAGCAAAAATGCTGGGTTTTTTTCAATTTCCTTGTACGTGATCAGCTATTCTTTGCCAATCTTGGGGAGCTTTACCTCATTTACTAAGGTCTGGAGCAATGGCACTTGCTGAGTGCAATTGCACTTTGCAAAGTGTACAGTCCATTTGCCTTTAGTAAATCAAACCATTTATGTGTGTGTGTTTGTGTTATGGATTTTGGAATCATTTAGGTTTGTGAAGTAAAGTGAAGTCCTAATTGAAGGAAATTGTAAAATGACAGTGAGAAAAGGTAAGATTTAAAAATTTAGGTAAGAAGGTGCATCCTTTAGATAGCACCAAAAGTACCCATCATGCCACTTGACTTTCAATAGTATACATAATATAGATAATATACATTAAGTAAAGAACAAAGGCAGGCAACTCCATGAATGAACTTAGCTTGTAGAAAAACTGGCACTCAACTCAAAACTCTTTCTTCCAAACATAGGGGAACCCTCAATGGTGGAAAAATTGTATGGGATTTTCAGTATTCTACACATAAGGATTCACACTTTAATGAAAAAAAAAAAAAAAACTGCAGCCAGTTATAAAGAGCAGGTATCTAGAGGTGCAATAGCTTTCAGTGCTCTTTCTCTGCCCCATTCTGATAAGGCAAAGCCATTGAGACAGTCCATCATGGTAAATGTACAGGGGTTAGACAAAAAATGGAAACACTACATGATTTGCATGACTTTTGTCATTCACTGCATACTCTGCTAGCAATACATGTCAGAACGAACTGAGCTTCAAAGAGGGAAAATTGTTGGTGCCCACTTAGCTGTTCTCTCTGTGACTGAAGTTGCCAATTTATTTGCCATGTCACGAGGTACAGTATCAAAGGTTATGACAGCATATACAGCAGTGTTGCCAACCTACCAAATTTAAATTCACTGAAATGACACCCAAATTTTACTGGCAGAGCTATGCTTTTCCAAAATGTAAAAAATGTCATTTTTCAGTACAAATTACAGTATTTACATTACAAACAAGTACAATATGCAATTAGCAATTGATTTAAGGTAGATATTAAGGCAAAAAACATATTTCTTATTTTATTTTCTATATAGTAAGTAAGTAGCTCAGGAGGGCAAGAAATTTGAATGGGCAGACACACACACATGAAATTGACTCTCACAAGGACACTGGCAACAGTGTACAGCAGCACAGATGATGATGACGCCTCATGACATGTCCTCTTCTGAGACAGACAGGTGGACCCTTCCGTCCACTTCAGTCCAAACAGCACTGACAGTCCCACTCCTGTCTTGCCTTGCTCCCATCCCACAGACCCACACATGAGGCTTTGGCCCCTCTGCTCAGCTCTCTTGCACCATGACATCATTCGACTCACTCAGGCACCACTTCCACTAGATCCTCCCCCAAACACACTGTAGCAGGCACTTGGATAGTTTCGGCCAGCTCCGGACCAGAACTGAGCATGCACAGTTCCGAATTGAGCGCCATAGCCGTATTTTTATCTGGCAACCTTTTCCTGTCACTTGCATTTACTAGCAGGACAAAAATTACCATTTTTTACTGGCTGTCAGCAAAAATACTGATGGTTGCCAACACTGATATACAGTTTCCAGGAAAACATTATCTGATAAGCATAAGCACAGTCAACATGGTCAACTCACCTGAAGAGACAAAAAGACACTGCACAGGACTGTTACCCGGAATAAGAAAACAACTGCTGCAAAAGTAACTGCAGAGCTCAATCTCAGTCCCATGAAGACCGAGATTGAGCTCTGCAGTCTATTTTGCAGCAGTTGTTTTCTTATTTCGGGTCACAATCCTGAGCAATGTCCTTTTGTCTCTTTTGTCGCTTACAGTATGCTTATCAGACGGTGTTTTCCCGGAAACTGTATATGCCATCATAACCTTTGATACTGTACCTCGCAACACGGCAAATAAATTGGCAACTTCAGCCACAGAGGCACCAGCTAAGTGGGCACAATTTTCCCTCTGTTTTAATATTATGTTGATAGAGTAACTTTAAATACATTTGAAATTTCACCCAAATATGGTCAATGTCGCTTTTCACATCTTTGTTTTTTCACCCAATGCATTTTTCCTCTGTATTCTGAGTTTTATACATATATTAATTAAATGCATCTGTTATACTGTATAAGATAATACAATTTCAGGGGCGCATGCGCTGCTGGCTCCTGGATGGACGTGCATTGCTGACAGCTCCATCCACCCGCCAGAACAAGCACGCCTCACACCGGCCCCAAGGGATATAAACCCCACAGCAAGCATCAGACAGTGTGCCCGGACCTTCTCAGCTATGCCCCGCAGGAGAAAAACCCCGGGGCAACCGGGAAAACTGACACAATTCTTCCCTTCTGTCACAGTAGGGATCCAAGATGGCGCCGGCTGCAGTGATCTGAGAAGCGGCGGCAGCCATGAGAGGGACCACACAGCCCAGCAGACGGATCGCAGACTGCAATACCCGCTGTATCCAGGGGACCCTGGTGAGTCATCACCCCCTATGTCCACCACCACTAGCAGCCCAGCTAAGTCTAGGCCGCGGCTTGACCCCGAACAGCCTTTTACCTACCAGGCCCTAAGCCATCCGTCACCTCAGCTTAATACTGACCTGCCTGACATAGAAGCATTCCCTGCGTCAGATCAGCCCATCACTGAGTTATGCATGAAAAACATGCTTTCATCACTCAGACAAACCCTGCATAACGATATATCGTCATCACTAGCCAAAATCACTAACGTGGTTCAGCAACAAGAACACAGATTACTCCATATTGAGGCTAGAATGGGAGAAATAATTACGGCACATAATGACCTGATTG